GTCTCTTGAATCGGGGAGGCCTCGTGCTGTACTTGGAGATCAAAGGGAGAGGGGGTCTTGCCATGCCCTTCTTCCCTTGCAAAGTCAAAGTCCTCGCACTTTTCAGTGTTTAGATCTCAATTGAGTAAGGAACGCAGTTTCCGTTTTGTGAAGCATGGGTGCGGTGCTGCCCCGTTTTCGAGATCATTGGAAATCGAGCGATGGACAGCTGGTGTAATGTAATCATTGATAATGGATATATATTTGGACATTCCAATGAGTAAAATATATTTCTCAGATATATTTGTTCCTCATCCACAGTTCTGAAGAAGACTTCAGAGACATAAGGAGAAATGGGCGTTATTAATGAAGGTGACTTTTTTTTTAAAGATTGTTATTTATTTATTTGAGAGAGAATGAGAGAGAGAGAGAGAGAGAGAGAGAGCGTGAGTGGGGGGAGGGTCAGAGGAACAAGCAGACTCCCTGCCGAGCAGGGAGCCCGATGTGGGACTCGATCCTAGGACTCTGAGATCGTGACCTGAGCCGAAGGCAGTCGCTTGACCAACTGAGCCACCCAGGTGTCCCACTGAAGGTGACTTTTGGTCTCTACCCAAGGGCAGGGGCTGGCTGCCAGGAGGGCCAACCACGTGATTGGAGGGATGAAACTTTCAACCCGATCCCCGACATCCAGGGAAGGGCAAGGGTCGGAGGTTGACTCAGCCACAGGTCAATGAGGCCTCCATAAGAAACCCAAAGGACTGGGTACAGAGAGCTTCGGGTGAACACGTGGAGATTGGGGACAGTGGCACTCTCGAGGGGCACGGAAGCCCAGCACCCTCCCCCAGGCCTCCCGTTATGTAGTTCTTCATCTGGCTCTTGATGTGTATCCTTTCTCATACGCTTTACAGGTAAACGTGAATTGTTTCCCTGAGTTCTGTGAGCTGCTCCAGCAAATTAACCGAACCTAAGGAGGTCGTTGGAACCTCCAATCCCTAGCCAGTCAGAAGCACAGGTAACAGCCTGGAGCTTGCAACTCGTGTCTGAAGTGAGGGTTGGGGCAGTCTTGGAGGACTGAACCCTTAACCTGTGGAATCCGACGCAGGCTCTGGGTGGATTGTGTCAGCATTGAGTTGAATTCTCAGATACCCTGCTGGTGCATGAGAATGGCTTGGGGTTGGGAGAAGGGGGTCCCTCCCAATGTTCAATTTCGGTCCAGGAAACCAAAAGGCCTGGGGTCAACCCTGGTTTCAGCTTCCAACCAGCTGTCTGACCTGGAGCAAGGACATGCTCTCTGGGGGCTCAGTTTCTTCAGGTATTAAGGCTACACGTTACTTAAATAAAATTAAAAAAGAAAAAGAGGGTGCCCAGGGGGTTCAGTCAGTTAAGCAACTGACTCTTGATTTAGGCTCAGGTCATGATCCCAGGGTTGTGAGAGCAAGCTCGGCATCGGAATGCGCACTAGGTGTGGCACCTGCTTAAAATTCTCTCTCGCGCGCGCTCTTAATCTCAGGAAACAAACTGAGGGTTGCTGGAGTGGAGGGGGGTGGGAGGGATGAGGTGGCTGGGGGATGGACATTGGAGAGGGGATGTGCAATGGTGAGCGCTGTGAACTGTGGAAGACTGAGGAATCACAGACCTGTACCTCTGAAACAAATAATATATTCTATGTTAAAAAAAGAACAAAGAAGATAGTAGGAAGGGGGAAATGAAGGGGGGACTCGGAGGGGGAGACGAACCGTGAGAGACGATGGACTCTGAGAAACAAACTGAGGGTTTTAGAGGGGAGCGGGGTGGGGGGATGGGTCAGCCCGTTGATGGGTATTAAGGAGGGCACGTATTGCATGGAGCACTGGGTGTTATATGCAAACGATGAATCACGGAACACTACATCAAAAACGAATGACGTAATGGATGGTGATTAACATGACATCATAAAATAAAATTTTTTAAAAAGAAAAAAAATATCTTTCCCTCCCCCTCTGCTCCTTACAACCCTCCCTCTCTAAAAAAACAAAAAACAAAAAACAAAAAACAAAACCCAAAAGAATGAAAGAAATGGCTGATGTAGAAGACAGTCATAAATACCAGCTACAGGCCTGTGACCTCCAGAGCACCTAGGATATAGCGTAACCTGATGACTTAACAGGGTTGCTCCACTTCAGAAGGAAAACAGACAAACAATCCATGCAGATGAAAAACTTAGGGCAACAGCCCAACTTTTACTAACAGACACCTATAACAGGAAAGTTGCAATGCATTTTCTTAGCCGCAAGAAGACAATTCTTAACTAATTTGTGCTGGGAGGCATCAACAATATCTGGTCGCACTCCAGGACAGCCAACTGGTTCTGCCTTCTCATTGATCATTGCCATAACGGGATTATAAGGTTGGGGAGCGATCACCTTTGTTGAGAAACTGGTCATATGCTATTTTCTCTAGGACCTTCTCAAGGTGACTTATTAAGTCTTCTCTTTTCAATCTGGAGATAAAGAGACAAGTCATTAACCCAAAGACACCCAAAGAACCTTTGATGCAGGAGGCTCTGTAGAAGATGCAAAGAGAAGCTCGAGTCACAGGAGTCCAGAAAACACCCCTGCGTGGTAAGGGACCATCCATTAATACACAGAGTGCCAGTTCAGGGTCAAGGCCCACCTCAAACTCTGGAGTGAACAGAGGGTTCCTTGAGCTTGGAAGAAGGAGAGACTCGGATAGCATCGATCTAAATCACTGGGGACGACATGAACTCTGGGTGAGGACCAGGGTTTGAGAAACGCCAGGCAGGGCCCGACCCCACCCCTCACCCAGCAGCGCACTGGGCCCCCTGGGAGACATACCGGACAGTTCCTCCTACACTCACCTTGCCGCTTCCTTCATGGCATACACGACAAATTTTTTCTGCACTTCTGGAGGTCCTTGCACTCCTTCAAGCAATTTCAAGATTCTCTCATGTTCTGAAGATATTTAGAAAAATACCTTCAGTATTTCCCAAGTACAAAGAGGAGTTAGAACTCAGGCTTGGAGTCTCAGCGATCATTCAAGGGCTACAAGGTTACAGCGTACCTGTGCTTTCCATGCTTACGTTCAGACATCCCTACAATGTTACAGCGTACCTGTGCTTTCCATGCTTACGTTCAGACATCCGAACATATCCACCAGTGTGGGATCTGGTACACAATAACCAATTAAGAAATACAAAAGAACAACAACAACAACAAAAGATTTACTGGGACATTTCAGTCGAAATAAAGAGGAACCGTTCTAGTTGTGAAAACCCACTTCTGGCAAAGGAGGAGCCTCAAGAGGTCAGTTGAATCTAGTCTGGATCATAGAACGGGAAAGACTTCCTGGGGTTTCATGGACAGAAATTGGTATTCTACTTACTTCCTTCAAAATATCGAATTTCCTTCTTTAATTGCACTTTTATTTCCATATTGATTTCCGCTGGTATTGGCAGTATATCGGGCACATCTCCCGACACATACATTGCTGTGTCTTTGGGGTCATCTGCAGAGAGACAGCTGGGAATGATTCCTCCCACCAGTGCATCACTACCTGGTTTGTGAATGAATCGGCCCACCCTTGCTGACACTGGCTAAGACAGGACACAGAGAATCCACCTGACTGTGTGGAATACCATCTCCTGCCATATTCATCAGCTCTGGAGGTCAGAGTTTCACCGGAAGCCATCCGGTGGGGATCGACCACTTTCCGTCCCCTCCCCGTGGATACCGTGAAGCACAGGTGCCATCTGGAAACCTAATTGAATGTGGAGCTGCGATGACGTGCATTTCAGCAACCCCACAGGCACATCCATGTGCTCGCCAGTCTCTAAATTTTCATTTCATAGCAGGAGAATACACCAGCTAGATGTATCACACCTGAAAATTTGCCTCAGGAAAAATAATACAACAAAGAAGCCTCTTCTCTTCTCGTCATTACGCATACACACAGAAACAGGCTTGGACAGTCTAACCAAGTAGCAAACATTCACAGAGCCCCGGCAACTCATGATTTCATGTTCCCTTGATCCCGTC